TTTGTTAATTTTTTCGCTTCAGTCTATACTTTTAAAGGTTTTGAAGAATCGTGGACACTTTTATCAGTGATGTTGATTCTTGTGGCATCTGGTTAGAACTGTTATCCTCATCTAGCAATAGATTATTTGTCAAACTTTATGTTGCTTCTTTTCATTTGGCATCTAATATTTTATGTTGGATTTCTAGTTGCGGCATGTGTGTCTTGATTTGGCTAGATTGTGACATACCTTGAAATGAAGGCTATGGAGACATAAGTGAACTTTTGGAATTCGTCTCCCTAATTTTTTTCTGGCAACATGCAGCATTTCCTACTCTTTTAGTCTGATTTATATATCATGCTACTACTAAAGATTCCGTGTTCTCGCCTTGCAGGCTTGTTGTGTTGAATATATCATTCTGGAGAGTGATAACTTATCATCTCTGTTTCCTAATGCACATTTAAGCTTGGGAGGACTTGAATTAAATTCAAAACACCTATTTGCTTTGCTCGCTACCCTCACTGTTCTCCCTACTGTTTGGCTGCGAGATCTCACTCTGCTTAGTTACATCTCAGGTGAGTGATTTATTGATTAAGGAACTTTTCAAAGGAAAGAAGTGCAGATTTTGAGTATGATAGTGTAAGTATATCTTTCTTGAAATGTTCTGCACTGGTAATCTAGCAGATTGTATTGTCTCTTCAGCTGCGTTCAGGTAAAAGTTACCAATAATTTCCAAGTATTACCAGTGTTATATCTAGTGTTTCTCCTATTAAATTTTTGCTATAGGAGATTTTAGATCAATATTGGGTCAAAAGCACTCTCATCTGTCCCCTGAGGAAAATCAGCTTACGCTCTCATTGTTTCTTTGTGAATCTCTTTTGTTAATCTGAGTGTATCATGCACTGGGTGTCATGTACACTAAATTAACCATTATCCTCGTTTGTAAATTACTCTCTTTAGCTGGAGGAGTTATTGCTTCAATATTAGTGGTCTCCTGCTTATTCTGGGTTGGCTTGGTGGACAAAGTTGGCTTTGAGCCCAAGGGGACCGTATTAAATCTCTCAACTCTTCCTGTTGCTATTGGCCTATATGGTTATTGCTACTCAGGCCATGCGGTTTTTCCCAATATCTACACATCAATGGAGAAACCTAGCCAGTACCCTGCAGTTCTCTTAACCAGGTAAATCATGCAACAGCTGTCCTGTGAACTGTTACATATTGTGTTGGTACGGAAAAGGTGGCCTTCATTTTCTACATTATACATGCTTGAAAACTTTCTTTAACTGCCACTCTGAGTAGATATTAGAAACTCATAACAACATTATGTCATTGGAAGCTTGCACCAACGTCTGGCACCACTTTGCACATTCCTTACATTGCATCATCATATTGGCATTAGTAATCCTGTATACAGGGTGGCATATCTCATTAGGAGCTTCAAATGTTTTTTTCTTGATTTTTTCTTGTTTTTGCGTTGAATCTAGTTTTGGAATCTGTACTCTGATGTATGCCGGAGTTGCCGTATTGGGATACTTGGTGTTTGGAGAATCAACAAAATCACAATTCACTCTTAACTTGCCCCAAGATTTAATTGCCTCCAAAATTGCTGTCTGGACAACGGTAGGTCATTTTAAAGTTTCAGTGAAATGCTTCGCAGTGTTTTCTTTGATTCTTAATATTTGGACACATGCTAAGTTCACCTACCTTAACCACGTAAAGCACCATGTGAGAGGGCTTATCTTTCACATTTTGCTTACTAATTTATTATGCTTCCTCTTGGACTCTTTGACCACTGTATCAAACTTGAACTGGTTTTGGAATTTGAATTGCAGTTAGCTGGCTTATTTTGATTTTGCAGCCTATGCACTATCTATAACTTCTGTTTTGTCCTTGCTATTTTGCAGGTTGTTAATCCATTTACAAAATATCCTTTTTAGAATTAAAATTGCTGACTAGAATTTGCATGCACTACAATCACTTCTGACAGCAATTCCCGCTTCTGATCAGCATATGTATTTAGGACATGATACTGGAGACAAAAAGGGATAGAAATTTTATTGCTAAAACTTTTAAAATCTGTAGATACTGGTTTACTTTTCAAAACAGCATGCTGAGTATTTGTTTATCAAGATAAGAACAATAAAACCAATGTTGTAGTGCTTTAGCAACTTAAGTATCAATGCACAATTAAAAATCCCAAAAAGTATATTGCTCAGGAAATTTAGGATGTAATTTCTCGCATTGGTAGTATCTGTTTGGATGATCTTCTTGAAGCTTTTAGATTTGCCAAACTGCGATGCTTTTAATCACAATGGAAGAGCTGAATTTCCTTAATATGAAACACATATGCTTTAACCATGACTCCTGTGGCCTTGTGTCTGGAAGAACTGATACCTGCAAACCACATCAAGTCTCACATATACTCAATCCTCATAAGGACAGCGCTAGTTGTCTCTACTCTGATTGTGGGCCTTTCTGTTCCGTTCTTCGGTAAGTTTCATTTGAATATTTGGCAGTGTAGCTTCTCAAATTTTTTCTTCGACTATGTTAATTGGCCGAGTCTATCATGATGCAAATTGCATCAGTTTCCTATTTAATTGGGATCTATTTTTCCAACTTTTTAAGAGCTGAGCTAAACAGTATCATACTGCTTTTTTTTTTCTTCTTTTTTTCTTTTTCAGGTCTGGTCATGGCACTTATTGGATCTTTACTCACAATGCTAGTGGTAAGTCTTACTATACCACTTATATGCAGTTACTTCTCCTACCACCTTCACATTGCCAAGTTCAGTTTCTTCAGTAAGCTGATTTCAGAATTTTTTTTTTCCAGACATTTATACTTCCTTGCGTTTGCTATCTTCGCATCTTGAAAGGAAAAACAAACCAGTTCCAGGTAAAACCAACTCCTCGTGCCCCGCATTTTTATTCCACATTCCGCAAACCATGCTCAGATATGATTATTTATTGATTAATGGGAATAGAAAGAAACATGCTACATAGACGAATGATTGAGATTAAAATCTCAAATCCAACTAATCCTCATAGTAACAAGTGGAAGAAGAAAATCATTCCGGAAATCGAAACACCTGATGCAGCTTTGAGAGATGAGGCGTATAGAACAAGCACAAATAAGCCACACCATCGCTTTGTACATGAGAAACATTAGGTGCCTAGGCCTTTGCTTGACACCCATTGTTTACTGTTTAGTCAGTCTTTTTATTTCCTGTTCATTCTTGCAGGTAGCTGCTTGTGTATCGGTCATAATAGTTGGATCTGTGTCATCTGCTTTCGGTACTTACTCAGCTGTCTCCCAAATTGTTGAGAACTTGATCAGTTGAGCTAAAACTTTTATGTGGTTCTCGCAACGGGGATAACCTTTTTTCCCTCAACGGAGAATATCCATTCTTTCCTCTTTTGAAACTGGGATTTTGTAGGGTACTTTATACACATTGTGCCATTTTCCCAAAATTTTTTGTGATGTATCACTTAATGTGTAGTTAATTCTCATAACTATATTGCATGAAATTGTCATGTATCTCAAGTTTCATTGAAAATTATAGCTGCATACATTCTAGATGTGTACTTGATCAACCTGCAAAATTCAAAAAGAAAATTCTTGATAAGAAGCTTTGTCCCACACTTTGCAGCCACTAAGTTAGCCACAAATGTGCATTTTTTCTCCCCTTTACAAGATCTCTTGTTCTACTGCAGTATTGCTAACATAAACATTTTCTGGCCATCTGAAGAGATGTCCATTATCCAAAGTAAAATTTAAGATCAGATGGGTTTTTTTGGTATATCCATAGATGAATATTCAGTTTAACTGATGGATATAATTATAGCAGATACTTATTTTCATCTAAATGTTTTGATAAGCACTTAAACAGATATCTGAATGGCTTTTTTACAAGTTACAGTAATGTCAGACCATAAAGTTTGTCATCATCATGGAAATCTCACCTCTACTTTTAAGATTGTATGGATGTCTCTTGCCATCTATGTTTAGGGTCATTTTACTTTGGATCCGTATCTATAACTTCAATAACTTATCTTCTCTAAAAAATGATGATGATAAACTTCGAAGGTACAATTTTTCAATGAGAGATCACAGGCTCATATTATTACAAAAACAAGCATAAAATGTAAACACCAGCTGATTTAAACGTGCAAAAAATTGGAGATTTTTTGTTGAAGTATCTACATTTAGCAAGTTTTTGCAATGCATTTCTTAAAGATCTAACTATTAGTTTAGTCCCTTCATAAAAGGTTACAAGTTTGAATTGTAACAAGTGTTATGATCTACTTTTTTTTTTTTTTTTTTTTATCTTGTGTTATGATTTACATTGACTTCTGTAACTGTAAATACATAAATAGCAATGGAAAAGTACACATTGTGTGTCTCATTTTACAATTAGTAAAAGAAGCTAGTTAATCGGATCGGATTGACTTATGTAAATGTAAATATCTACGTTGACTTCTGTAACTGGAAAGAAGACATTCTGGAAGCCTAAGCCATAACGGAGGAAAAGATAGGAGAACCAAGACTAGAGAAGGCTTTGGCAGTCAGAACAGCTATGCAATTAGGAAAAGAAACACGTTGGTGGAAGATTGAAATGCACCGGAGGATATACAAAAGTTGAGGGAGTTTTTTGATCAATGCAATTTCTTCTTTATACGTAGAGAAAGAAATCAGTTGTGTCCTGAGCTAGCAAAATTCGCTTTGATGTTAGTTAATGATGTATATTGGAATACCAATTTTCTGGGTTGGATAAAAGATCAAGCACGAAAGGATTGTGAGGGCAGCTTATTCCTTTTGTAAAGCATGCTTATATTATCAAGTTTTTTTTTTTTTTTTTTATATTATCAAGTTAAACCAATACAAATGTCATCGTTTTGACCAAAAAAAAAAAAATGTATCTCATTTTACAACGTTGTTGTAGCTTTGTGCAATTGTACTTTGTCTGCCAATCTTGTCGGGTCAATACTAGCAGTCCCAGAACCTTAACCCATTTCCTCAATAAAGTCTTCATTTTTTGTCACTTGTTCTTTTGTCGGAACTCAGAATTCAGAATCCTCGTCCCCTCAAATTCTCCACATAGTATTCCAGGGTTTAAGACTTCACCTTTCCCATCCCCCAATTTCTAATTCCCTCCCCCACGCCCCCGCCCAGAAAAAAAGGAGAAAAAAAAAACACACACACACACACACAGAGGGGAGGAACACAGGGACATGTCTGAAATAATGAAAACATATCCTACCAATGAGTATTTGCATGAAAGGAAGCTCTTTTTCGGCCCAACATTAGAGACTAGAATGATTTTTTCGGTTCCAAATGAAATAATTCAATCAAAGATGAATAGAATAAGATTAATTGGCGGCGGAGGAAATAAGGTGAAGGGCAAGGCGGCTTTATTAGCTAATTATAGTGATGAAGGGTCTGTTCAAGGTGCCCTTGACAATTCCCCGATTTCGATAGAGCTAGAGCCAATTTTGAGCGAATCCCAGTTCGATCGGGTCATTGCTGAAGCTCAACAGCTTGAAGAACCAATTTTAATTGTATGGTATGCAGTTGACATCATAGATTTTATTTGTTTTTGGGTCTTGTGATTTGAATGAAAAAGTTGACTTTTACATTGAGTTGGCATTTTTTGTTGCATGTTTTTCCCAACTTTTTTCCGTTGGAACAATTGAACGTCTGGTCTTAGTAAATATCGTTTCTTGTCGATGTAGAGGCTAACGTAGTGCAGAAGGCAATCGGGTTGCTAATAACTTGTTTAAGCATTTTGTGTCCGTGAACTGGGTCAAAAAGTTATTGGGCTAGTCTTTATTTTTTGCTGTTAGACTATTGCTTTTTCATTTCTGGATCAGTTGGATGACTTCACTAGTTTCTATCGTGAAGAGTCCTCATGGTGAATTTGAGAATTATAGCTGAGGCAGATTCTATTGATTTTGTTGAACAATAATGGAATGCATGGACTGATAAAGTCAGTAGTAACTCGTCAGATTAGGATTTGCCAGATCACAGAGAGTGCACGTGGTGACAGTCGTAGAGTTTTGTTTAAATTTTCTGATTCTTTTCTTTCGTATCTTGTGATTTTGCATAATAGATTTTGTATCACTTTTTCCAAGAGTGCTACTTTTTTTTGAATGTGAAAATAAATTGGAACTATTGATCCAGGAATATATGGGATTCAGAAATATTACCTACGACATGTTCATGGGATCTAGGTAGTTGTGTCCTACATGCGCCTATATTCAGGATATTTACGTGTTGTACAATATCTGTGTTTCAAAATAACTTTTGAAGTTTGATCTGTTCTCTGTACCTTAGTTGGTTACCACATGTTTGGGAGGGTAAAAATCCTAAGAAAGTTGTTTTTTCTGATTATTAGAAATAAGTGCCTTTGGTGTTGTAGGGCAGGTATAATTATGGTCAACAGAGAAGAGACCTCATGTTTTACCATCTACAGTTGGCTACCCCAGCTTGCTAGATAGACCAAGTGATTTAAATATTTGTCTTCCTATAAATCAGTTGGAAATTGTGATGCCTGCTGTTGAGTTTGTTTGTTAGGAGACCAAGCAATCTAATCCTTCAGTTGCCCTAGTCAGATATCAGCAACAGATATTTTTAATAGTAGGACCACATTTTCAAAGTCATTTTGTTTCTAATTTCATACACGCTTGATATGTTCATAATGCTAATAAATATGGTACAGAAGTATAGAACAAAATGGAAGAAGATCAGTGCTTGATTCAAATATTGCATGAAAAGTCCTTTTAGGAATTCAGTTGAGTTGTGTATCGATTTCTGCGATGCTTTTACATGTTTCACATATGCAGTTACATGCTCACTGTCCTGTGGTATTTTGTTTCTTACCTGAGATTTATGCTGAGAATATTAAGCTTAGAGCATCCAGGATTATATTGGTTGCAGGATGGCAAGGTGGTGCAGAAAATGCATATATTTAAAACCGAAGTTGGAAAAGTTAGCTGCTGAGTATAATCCGAGGTAATTGATCTCATGTACCAAATTCTTGCAATCCGATCTTCAAACTCTGTTTGGTTTTGTAGGTGCTGGATCAGGTTAATTGGTTCTTCGCTTTCTTCTGTATTTTATAGAAAAGCATTGATGCACCTATCCTTTTGAAGACTTAATTTTGTTCTTCTTGGTATCAATTCAATGAAATCTTAATTACAGCAAGGTACTTTTTTGTTCTAGGTCAAATCCTGTGATAGTTGGAACTGTCCATGCTGATTTTTCTGCACTGGCCTCTTTTAAATAATGTTTTTTCTGATTGTTCTACTGCCACTAGTTGCATTTAGCAGTGTGACAGACTGGTTAGTCTTTGTACTTATGGTGATGAAGGAAGAGGTGGACTTTGTTTTTTGAACGTCCCAAGCCTACTTGTTTCATAAGCATTACTGGTTAATTCCTAAATTTGGTTGCCTGTAATGAGTTCACAATTATCTTGAAGTAGGATATCCCTCTTAGATTATGAATTACAAGGGATGCTATTTGCATCTCAATAAGATCCATTTACCATCATAAGAGATGAAATCTTAGAACTTGCTTTTAGTTCACTGCCAGTGGCTCATGCTTCTTTTCACATGCTTATCTTCACAAGTATGAAATGGCATTTCCTGCTTAACTCTGAGAAAATAACATCCTTATTGCAGCCTTTTCTATGAACAAAACAATTATCTAAGATTGCAGTTATCTCTCATTTTCTCTTTTCACCTCACTCATCCATCCAACCCCCTCGTCAGGGGCTCTGTCTATATGCCTCTGCAATGACAATTATTGATGCCTTCACTGATGCAGAGTACGCTTTTTCCATGTTGATGTTAATAATGTTTCACACAAGCTCGTGGTTCGAGCAGGAGTTACTGTAAGTTTCCCTTTAATGATAAAAGTTTTTAAATGCTGTTGACATCTGCTTGCCTCATCATATTAGCTGAATAATTATACCTGTTTCTCTGCTGTATGGATGCAGATTTCTACCACAAAATGTTATAAAACAATCATTTACTCTTTAAGTTGTATATACGAGTTCTGTGCATAAAGTGGTATTATTGTTTCAAAATGGATAAGTTAGCCAAATGAAACTGCTTCATTACTATGCAATCTAACTGGATGACTAAGAATATGCTACTCTCATGTACTAGACTGGAGTATTTCCATTGTGAGTCAGTCGAATTTTTTTAACACCCCATTATTCTGCGTAGGTTAGTTAAAGTTCAGACAAACGATTCGAATGAAATCTAACTGGACTTAATCTGCCTTTCATGTATCTGAAATGCGGCTTCCAAACAAGAGCAGAAAATGCCTACCATACAGGTAACTCAGTTTAATTACCCTGGAAATTGTATTGTCTTGACAGTTTCTGGCTTCAAACATTTCTAGAATTTTTGCAATGTGAATGATTTTAAAAAAGCATTGACAGCAGCTATGGAAGGATGGCCAGAAAGAAGGCGAGGTGATTGGAGGGCACAAAGCACATTTGGTGGTTAATGAGATACGTGAAATGATTGAAAATGAATACACCTTGTAATTCAATCCAGTCCCTGAGGGTATGCATTTAAACTTCATTCAACATTAGCCAATCGCACAGGAAAAAGCTGCATTCAGGTGTTTTGCTTGCCCAATTATAGGGAGATCATTGGCTTACTTTTTCCAATGCGTCATAGGAAGATAATTAATATACTTGTCCCCTTGTTTTTCCTATTTGTCTTCTCCCCTCGCAAAACCTCCCTCTTTTGGGGGTAGAAGGAGGGGAGGGGGCAGGGGAGTTTGCCACTTTTCGTTCTGGTTCTGTAGCTGGCTACATACTTACCCATCTTAAGAATAATATAGTGCCACCTTTCAGGGAAAAAAAAAAAGGAAATAAATAGTGCCACTCCTGTACTTACCAAGATTAGCTGAGGATGCACTGCATATATCGGTGGCCAGGATGTCCCATCTTCACTGGTTTATTCTTTCCTTTTTGAGTATTCTCATTTTACCTTGTTTTATGGAACCTTCCGCTGTCTGTTAGATTACTCACAAAAGATTTGCTGATAAAGATGGATCCATGTGTTTAATTCCACTCATTACTTTCTCTAGTTGATTTTACACACAGAAATTTTCTATGATGAATTATTATAACATCATTTATAGTTGGATTGCTGTAAAGCATTGTGTCAACTGTGTATACCTTGAAGTTTAGAACGATAAATTAATAAAGTAATGGTGATGGATTATGATAAAAAAAAAAAGAAAAAAAAGTTTCAGAAGTAAGTGTCCATGCAACAGGGCTGGAAAATGTAAAGAATCAGATCAGTAATTCATGCTGCTGCTAAATAGCAATTGATATGTGACAAACTGTCCATGTTGAATGGATATATATGCCTTTCCCAGCACGTCTGGTGCTTGGACAATATCTAATAACCCCTCTTATTTAATTTTTCGTTTGTAATTCATGGTATCTACGAATTTTAGCAGTTGAATCCTCTCAAAAATCTATAATTCAATAATAATTTCATTAATCTGAGAAATTTTTTTTATAGAATGGTATATCTACAACCGATAATTCCTTCCTGGAGAAAATTGAAAAATGAAACTTGATAAGATTAATTGATACTACATTCACTTTATGGCTTCTTCAAACCGAGAGACAGAGCGAGAAGCAGATAACCACAAATGATTTTTGCTTCTTCTCTGTCTTCCATCCCTTTTGACTTAAATTAACTCCTACATAGAAATCTATACAATATATAAAGAAGTAGAGGCAGTGGTTGGTATAACCTTTTTTTTTTTTCATTTTTTGAACTTTCAACTATATCCTTACAAAATCTGATTTTTACCTTAATTACCTAATCATATTTTATTAGTTTAACTACTTATAACTGCTTTTGCTTTTTAAGTATTGTAACTACCAAATTACTATAGCCTTATAAATCAAAGCTCCTTAATTAATTTATATAAATTGTATTTATGTGAAAAACAAAATTCATATGATACTAATTCGTTTTAATTGTTTTTAAATTGCAGACACATTGGAGGTGCACTCGAATGTCTAAACAAAAACAAAAAAAAAAAGCACGTTTAAAATGTGCTCTGAACAGTTATTTATAGTACTAAGTCGCACTTAACTGGGAGGAGGGACATGAACGGTTGCAGGAAGCAATGTGACCGTTCCTGAAGGTTCATGACTAAGATTTAGCCAAAAAAATAAAATGTAAAGTCCAAATTACATCTTGTACATTGTTCTTCACATCATCTGTGAGGTTCACAAAATTTTGTTTTATAGTTATACGTTATTGAAAGTGAATTATATCGTGTGTGTATATCTTATGCATTTTGCATAAAATTGACCCGAACGATTTTCCTAAGTATTCGATTTTCCTGACAACATTCGGGCCCTGTTCCACTTAAGTAACATAAAGTGATTGCGCCGTCATGGCAATGGCGGTCCCCAACCTCATGCACGTAACCTATAAAAACGCTAATCTCAGGCACCACATTAATCCCATGCAAATTTCCAAATTCCTCCACTCATATTCGTATGATCGTATCTATGAATCCATATACCAACCGACCGATAAATGATTCCATAAATTGGAAAGGTTGCCATAATAAGTAAAAAGATTTCCAATAATTGTACACGCAATAAATGAAATCCCAGAAAAATTCCCGAGATTCCTCCTTCATATCAATGCTAACTATCGTACACTCGTTCAATTTTGGTGTGTGTCCGACTATTTTTAGGTAGCATGCTTAACCAGAAAGTCTCTGATCTGTAATTGCTTTTGGTTTGTTCTTGTTTTGTTTTTCTTTCTCGCTTTCTCCTCCTCTTCTTTTGTTTGGAAGATCCCCGTTCCGTTTGATCTTTCCGCTGGAATTTCTCATTTTTCTTCAACATTCTTGCTTTCCCTGGATTTTTGTTGTAAATTTTGACGAGAATGATCAAAAAGCCTGAATTTTCAAGAGCCAGGAGGATTTCTTGAAAGCCCAACTGGATGCTATTCAATTACTCACGGTGGTAAGTTTCTTCTTCTTTTTTATCCAATTATGTCGTTTCAACCGCATTAATGTTGCTAGAATGGTAATTAATTTAGGATATTCGTTTTAAATCTTTTAATTATGGTTCTTCATTATGTTATTATTCTCTTTTCATTTTTATTTTTTTTTTGTCCTTTTTTTTGTTTATTTTATATGCATTTTATATTTTTGCTCCTGATTTTGCTGGATTGTGTTTATCTTAATTTTTGTGGGAAATTCTTGTTTCTTGATTTAGGGATTCGTAAGATGGCTGATGAGGGTGGGAAAGATGACTGCTTGCTGTCAAGTGGGAGACTAATGAGTGATTCTGGTGATGATCTAATGTTGGGAGGATCAAGTTGTAATGGGGATTTAATGAACAATAGTAGTATTCTGGAAAGTGAACTTGAATTATTGCTGCTACAGAAAGAGCAGCAGAGGCAGCGAAATCGCGGCTTATTTGTTGGAAGTGCGAGGGATTTTGACATTCACAGGAGTGGTAGTGCTCCACCAAGTGTAGAAGGGGCCTTGAGTGCTGCTGGAAGTCTATCCAGGAATCCCAATTTTGCATCGCTTCATAGTACTGCTTCTAATACTGGTACTGATAGAGTTTTGACAGAAGAAGAGATTAGGTCTCACCCTGCATATTTAGCATATTATTATTCAAATGAGAATCTTAATCCGAGGTTGCCTCCACCATTGTTATCGAAAGAAGATTGGCGGATTGCTCAGAGGGTTCAGGCAGCAGGGTCTTCAGTTGATGGGACTGGGGACTTGAGGAACAACCTCTTGGTTGACGATGGTGTCAGCTCATTGTTGCTGTCAATGCAGCCTAGGTTAGCTGTCAAGAAGGCGGAAGAGGATTTGATTGAATTAAGAAAGGCTGCAGTTAGGAACCTTTCGCGGAAAAGCTCCACAGAATATCTGGAAGGGAGCTCTTCTAGTTCTGTTGGCCTATCAAAAGCTGGAATGGGTGCGAGAAGGAAGAGTTTTGCAGATATAGTTCAGGTTGTGCAGCTCGCATGTGTTGGAATTTGAAATTGAGTGTGCATTATTCTTTCTGTCATAGTTATTCATATTGCTTTGCTTGATTTTAATATCATCATCTTTTAGCCATGTGCACTTAACTTCAGTTGCACTTTGCCCATACCATAACTGCCCCTGCCCAATGAGTTACTGATTGTTATGACTACCTTCATTGTCTTGTCTTCTTATCATGTTATCATTGACTCACACGTCATTTACTGACATCTTAGAAGGGATTCAATTGACTTAGTGTTCATGCTTCCATATTTTGAAGATTACTGTTCATCTCCTATGCTACATCATTGGCAGAACCACTTGCAATGTTTATTTACTTGAGACAATTGGAATAATAATCACTAGCTGCACTTAGCCGCAATATGCCACATTACCCCTAAATAACTTTTGCTCCATAGGCAAACTCCAATCATTACAAAGCTTTCCATCAGAAGATTTGGACAAGTAAATGAAGTTCTCACTGGTTGCTATAAACAATCAAGAAATTCTACAGTGAAAAAATTTTCCATAACAGATATGACTCTGGTACATTGATTTCTCCACTTGGAATCATTTCAACAAACAGAGCTTGTAATTCTAGAGTTTGAGCATAATGCTTAAATTCTGATTTAAGTTGTAAGCAGATTGCTTTACTCAATTACGTGGACCCTATCAGCTGCAACAATATTATGACATGTGAAAAGACTGAACAATTACATTTTTCATGCTTCCTTTGATTTTGGTGTATGTATGGAATATATCAGGGACATACCTAACTATAATCATGTTGAAACCCCAGCACTCTAATTCTTAAGAGGATGTAAGAATTGTCTTTTGTTTCCTTCACTGGTACTGTGATTTGTTTCCAAGAGAAGTTAGCAACTGTTTCTTTTACTATATGAAAGTTATACTGAGGAGATTTATGATAGAGAAGTCTTAAATTTCTCCCAGTTCCCTTGATTCTGTGTGCACTTAAAAAAAACTTCAAAAAAAAAATCAACTCCCTTTGATAGGGAACTCTCTCTCTCACACATACACAATTATATATACCACTGTCTATTTGTTCGCACACTTTGTCCATCTATTCAACTGAAATGAGTGATTTACAGGAAGGATGTGGTCAACCTGCAACATCCTCAGGTCGTCTTTCACGGTCTGCTAGCCGTAACTCAGTTGGTGATATCTTGGATTCGAGAACTATATCTGATACCTATTCTGGAGTATTGCAAAATAGAGCAGAATCTTTTGATTCAATGCATCGTGGGCAACTTACTTCAGGCTTGTCCAGGGATTTAGGCCACCCCAGTGCTTATCCATGTACAACAGGTGCATCTTTGACATCTCCTCCAGGGTTCCCTGCTGTGGGTAGCCGAGTCTCCCTTGATGCCAAGAAAAACATCAGGGATCCAAAATCACAGGACCTTTCATCTCATGACACTGAAATTTATCATATTTTAGCTTCTTTCCCAGGATTAACTGTCAATAAAGTCAGCGAGGATGCTCCTTTAAGTTCTCCGACTCCAAATTGTCATCAGCTGAATATGCAGCAGCACTTCATTGACAAGTCTAGAGCTGAAAAATTGATCCCCGCTACCAATCATAATGAATTTTCCAGGGGGAAGATGGTATCACAGCTAGATTATGGGAACTTTAATTTAGACAGACAAGTAAATCTTCCAAGAAGAGCCTCTTCTTTAGTCAACCTTCAGTCACTAGTAAATTCTTCTGAGTTCACAATGTTGGACAACCCTAATCTCCAATATCCAGGTGATAATTTCTATGCTGAGGACTTCTAATGTCTTATATGTTGTGTATATCTATCTAGTCTGGTAATGAGCTAGCTATCTATATTCATGATGTCTCATAACACAATTCCTTTTCGTTTAAGTTTGAAGTTCTTAGTTTTTTTGTTTTATAATTTTAGGTTCACATTTGGGTAATGTTACTCTGAATGGACAAAGCTTGAGGAGGAGTGGTAATTTGGGTCTCTCTAACATTCATTCCCCAGACATACATCAGGCTCATTATTCAGAGAAACAGTTGAACTATGCTACACATGCAGCGGCTATGCCAAGAAATCTGTCCCACACAAGAAATTACACAAGCACTTCTCACCCTGATTTGCACCAAT